CAACGTTTTCTTCTTGGTCGTGACAAAAACACCCTGTGACACGTAACTCTTATTATATAAATAATAATATATTTTCGACGTGGAAAAAGTCTAAAAGGTTCCAAAGAACTTGACATCCAAAGGGAAGTCGAATTTGAATCAAATTGAGAACCACGAACTATATAGAATAATAGTGGCCAATCTTGGAAATTTCGATACAATTATCGACCATACTTCGGTTCGATTGAATTTTCTCCAAATAAGATCGAGAAATTTTCGTTATTCCCTAAATATATTTGTGTGTGAGATTATCAGTCACATCTCTACACTATGTACAACTGCAATACGCTAGACCTATGTATATGTGCGAATATTACTTTTTAATGATACAAGCGCTAATCTCATTCGTTCTTAATCTGCCTGTTTCTAAATTCTTTTTCGTAATCGGGGGTAGATAGTTCGCTTAGCCTTGATCTATTGAGCTAAGAGGATAATCTAGCGAAGAATGAAGCGAATGGCATACCTCCAAGGATCGTTCTCGTCGAGAGAATCTTGCGATCGATGTTTCACGAGGTCCAGAGTCCCAGTTGGCCCCCCGTCGGAGAAATGCACGCCCAACGATCGTTTCTTGTGCGGCAGCGTTCCACCAAGATTCCCCGTGATGGTATCCGTCATCACGTTATTATTTTCCTTCGGATCGTCGTCCAGCACGTCCTTGTCGTCCAGATGATTGGGCAACGAGCCACAGAATTTATATCTGCAAAGGAGCCGAATATTCCACTTGCTCTGAATATTCTCCGCGATGCACAAAAAAAAAAAAAAAAAAAGAAAAAAAAAAGAATGGTGAAACCGCATTTGGTTTCGATGCCGATTTAAAATGTAGTTTCACGTAGCCTAGGTCAGAGTTGAAAATAAAATCGCGGTGTGTGTAATGAAATTTACAGAGATTTGTTTAGATTTATTCTTATAAATTTATTTTTACAGATTTATTTGTACAAGTTTTGTTACAATCCACGGTTTTTTTTACTAATTTTGTCATTATTTGAAATTTATTTATATTCTAAACTAACTTTACCGTCGTCCGAAATTCTCACTCGAAATATCTTTTCATTCTGTTAGCTGCGCTTTCATGTTACTTCCTCCGTCCGTGAAAATTCCAAGTATCAGCGACATTACATTGAAAACATTTATAAACAGATGTCAGTACATTTTGTATATATCACTGTTGCATCTATATTACAAGCATAGTTCACGGTTTCTTTACTTGTAACGTGAAATGGCTACCGATTGCCTAATTTCAAGCAACGAGTGCTCTCTAGTTCAAGGCCTTTGAACGAGAAAAGCAAACGTTGCGCAAGAACGCATTGTCGATGTTTGCACAATTTGCACATAATTTGTACGAAGTTTGTTCACTTTCTTAGATGGCAAATGTATATTTAGACGAGAGACTTTTTTCCCAAGCGCGTACAAGCACAGCGGGAGACTCGATTTGATATTGAAAAGAAGAAAAGCTATCTCTTTTGTCTCTTTCATGAACGAACTAACCAAAGGAAATACAGTTTTTAATTTACGAAACTTTTTCACGTGGGGAGGGGGGGGGAGGAGGAGGAAGAAAAAACACGAAAATTAGAAATTTTTTTCCTATCCCGTTCGTAATTTCGCGTTTAATTAAATTCTGCAAATTTTATGAAAATCTGATTCAATTACGATGGAAAGTCACACGCTTTCATGCGTGAAGTAATATCCCACACGTGCCCCGGCTTTGAAATTAATTTTCAAACTTCATCAACGCACAAGATCCTAACAACCTGAACGTTATTATTCTTCACCTATCATCGTGATTAAACTTAAGTTTTTCACCCAGCTTTGTAAAACTGGGTGGCCCAATAAACGTATCGACAAATGCCACGGTGGCGGTAAATTTCTGACAGTATCACTGTTCTGGTTGCATTAGCCCTTTCAGAACTCTGACAAGTGACATGCAAAGCATGTGGCCAGATATTTTCATGCGTCGCTATTAAACGTGTGCAATTCGTAGGGATATTGTTCGTATTTGCATTAATGAACAAAATGTTTCACACGGTATTTTTATTTTTTTTCTTCTTCTATTTAATTATTTCTAACAACATTGTAGTATTGGGACTTGTGTCGTAGTTTTAGGTTAACTTGTAATTTTGTAGGGGTAAGGTTAATGTTATTATTTCATATAAGTGACAAGGTCAGGTAGCGAAAGAAACCCAAATCTTGGGAAAAATTCAAACGTTATGGAGACTGAGGAAAAATGAGAGATGTAAAAATAGAGAGATGTGAGTGCCGAGAGATAGTTGATGAGTCAAAGAATTGAAAAGTCGAATAATTGAAGAATCGAGGAGTCGAACAATCGATCAGTTGAAAAATCGAAGAGTCGAAGATACGAAAAATCGAACAGTGGAAGAATGGAAAAATCGAAAAATCGAAGAGTCGAAGATACGAAAAATCGAACAGTGGAAGAATGGAAAAATCGAAAAATCGAAGGGTCGAAGAATCAAAGACTCGAAGAATGTAAGAATCGAAGAGTCGAATATTCGAAGAGTCGAGGAGTCGAACAATCGATCGATTGAAAAATCGAAGAGTCGAAGATACGAAAAATCGAACAGTGGAAGAATGGAAAAATCGAAAAATCGAAGGGTCGAAGAATCTAAGAATCGAAGAATTTAAAAAAAACCTAAGAATCGAAGAGTCGAACAATCGATCAATTGAAAAATCGAAGAGTTGAAGATACGAAAAATCGAACAGTCGAACAATTGAAGAATCTAAGAATCGGAGAGTCGAATATTTGAAGAGCCGAGGATTTGAACGATCGAACAGTCGAGTAGCTGAAAAATCGGAGAATCGAAAAGTCAATCAACAGTCAGAGAAAAAGATTTATTGAAAATTGTCACACATGTTCGAACTTCTGAGTTGCTGCTTGATAGACTTACAATCATATCCTACAACAAACTCATTTCCTACAATACTTTTTTAATTCTTAACTGAGAAATGAACAGTAACTCTCAAAATTTAACATTAAATAGTAAACATTCGCTATCGTCACTGTGGTAGGGAAAAATTTTCATATCATGGGAAACAGACAGCGAATCTCGTTTTCGTTTCACGTCACGATTGCGTTGTTTTACATGTAAACGCGGTCTGTCAGCTGCGTTGTCGCGGTTTTGCGAAAGTTGTAAGTTTTTGCCCCGTTTGTACGTGACATCGTTTGCAATATTATATCGCAAGTGTACGCGTGTATGTTCAAGACTTTGACGATTCCTACGAGCAAGTTGCACACTCTAAAATCTACAGCTAGGGATTTTTAATCCTAGTTCAATTTTAACAATTTCCTTTAATAATCCAATGCCGCGTTCGTTATTCGTGATTGCTGTTTAAATCTGTTGGTCTTTCGGGCCAATGAGAGAGTTTGCATTCCGGGATCCGAGTCCTGCTGTTTCGTGCAATATAATGAAAAGAATTTGCAGAGTAATCGATATTGGTATCGACTGAAAATAGAATGAATAAACAGCGGAATTGATTGGGAATGAAACTGATATAGTTTATTGGGAAATATAGAAAGCTGAGCATATTGTTAAATACTGATAGAAAATGAACGTGTATCAGGTTTGAAAGGTTAAAAAAGTAAGGTCTGCGTTCTTTTTACCAAAATGCAGATAAAAGGCGAAGTTTTCGTGAGAAAGGGGAACTTTATCAGACAACATATTGACAAATTTCGTTCGATTATCTTTTACGACCTTGCAGGCAACTTGATGATTCCACGTTCAAAAAAAGTTCTTATCTTCTTCGACGAAGAACAGTTCCAAGAACCATTTGATATCCTCGTCAATTAATTAACACCGCTATAGTTTGAAGGCTTCTTCGCCATACACATCAGATAATTTTTTTATCGTCGCTTTTTTTTTTCTTTCCGAAAGTAGTACAGCAAAATATAGACGAGAATGTTCCGAACAAGCAATCGTTAACGAGATCGTGCATTTTCTCTCTCTCTCTCTCTTTCGAAAACAAGCTCGAAAGCATCAGATGTCAGATTACAAAGTGAATGAAGTTTGAAACGAAGTTAGTTACATTTTAAGATGCACTTGTATGTCATACATTTATTAGAAGAAAAAAGAAAAAAAAAA